AAGAACCAGTTCTCTTTGATGGGCTCCCGGGGACAACACGATCTGGCGCTTACACATTCCTCATCTCCTCACCCCGAGTCCGTGTTCCAGCTTCCCTGAACTTCGAACAGTTCGAGGAGCAAAACACCATTCTGCTGCTCACACAAGGCCTGGATGTTCTCACTTGCCCACTCCTTCGCATCCCAGTGGTCTAACGTTAGATACCTCTTCTTCCAGGAAGCCTTCCTTGACCACACCAAGCCTCGCTTCGGTGCTTCTGCACACCACCGACTCCCCAGTGCCAGCCCTGAGCACGGAGTGTTGACACTGCCTGGCTACCCGCCTGAAAACTCCATGAGGGCAGGACTCCTGTGTGCCACACTGACCCATTTCCCACAGTGTAAGCCAGTGTCTGGGATTTAACAGACAACTGAAAAATGGTCACTGCAGTTCTGAGCTGGCTTTAATTTTTCTCCCAAGGCCCTGCTTTGTTTTCTAAGTTAATTCTTCAGAAACTTCCCCAAGGTGATGAATATATCAGTCTTCATATAGGAACTAAACTGCTATTTCCCAAGCTAGATGTAGGAAACAGGTGAAGCCAATCACTGATGCTAGAAATCAAGAGTGGTTATCATATGGTGAGTGGGGGTTATGCCTAGAACGGGGGAGGTGGGGGGCTTCTGAGGGGCTTGTGACACTTTCTTCTTAACCCGAGTGCTGATTATATAGATAGGTTCACTTGGTAGAAACTAACCAAGCTGCAAACGTGTGGCTTGTACACTTTTCTGCACATGCTGTATGTCACTAAAAAGTCTGCTAAACAGAAAAGAAAAGCAGAAGCCCCTATTCCTCACTGCCCTCTGGCCCCTGGGCCTGTATGGTTTGTCTCTGAGCATCTGGGTGGTGGTCCTGAAATAAAGCTTTGATAGGGGAATCCGGCCAAGCCTGCAGTGCCCTCTCTTCAGCCGCCAGCAAATTGTACCAGGTCTCACTCAACTTCCCAACCCCCTGGGTGCCTGAGGCCCGGCATGCAATTCCAGGCCAGCCACAGTGGGTGTAAATAGTTTCACATCCATTCGGTATCTTATTCACCCTGCATTCCCCAAAGCACCACAGTTCCTGGGTCACAGCAGATGCCATGACCTCTCACGGAATGAAGGGTAGTCCCTTCTTTAGCTTGAAAACTTGAGGCCACCTATTTTAATCAAACTGTATTCATACCTTTGCTTTCTAATTATGAGTTAATAAGAAAAAACACTGCTTGCTCCAGCAATCATCTACCTAACGCCAAATGACAAAACAATAATTGAGAATGGAGGGAAGGGGGAAAATCAGCCTAGAAAATAGCAAAAGATGAGCTACTGTGTGTATGCTATTAGCAAACGCAACAGGCTCAAGCCTAAGGCACATTTGTGTAAAAAGCGTTATTAGAATGATAAAAGGAATGGTTTATTAGGACGCTGTCCCAGGCTTGGACAGGGATACCCAGGGCAATAGCCTCCAAATACAGAAAGCAAAATGAAGTGAATGACATGAAGGAGAGGAAAAACCCATAAGTCTCCTGAGAGCTTGATATAAAATAGGCCCCAAAAAGGAAAGCCTGAAATCCAATCAACACACTGGATCCAGTGGCTGCAAATTAGTCCCCGTGCTCAGCAATTAGAGAATGAGATGTGCCTTCTGTGGACAAGCAGTAGAATGCAAAGCCCGTGCGGCACATACTGCAAAGGTATCATACAGACGCCGTCCCTGAATTGGAGATCGAAGACAAAACAGCTGCAAAACTCAGATAGTAGGACATCTTCCAACACTAGTTAAAAATGCATAGATCAAAATGATTGTGAAAATTAGAAAATTGTGAGAACTGAATAGTAATGAAAGCCCTGTATATTAAATTTATGGAGATAAACTGGAGTGCAAAGAAAAATTATATATATCAATAAATATTATGAATGGAGCTGAAAAGCTCGAGATCAAACACAAAAGAGCAGAAAATAAAACAGTAAACCCCCAAAACACAGAAGACAGGTAATACAGAGAAGAGGCAAAATAAACAAAATAGAAAGTCAAAGAAACGACAAGAGAATCAGACAAATTAAATGGTGGTTCCTCAAAAAGAAAAACAAAATAAACATATCTCTGTCAGTACAGATAGGAAGACAGGGAAGGAGGGAACCCCTGAGAGGGGAGGGAGAGAGATTAGCTTAAAAGAGGGCAAAATCACAAATACGGTAGCATTTTACAAACCTATTAGCAAATGCAAGCAATAAACTTGAAAAGCGAAATGAAATAGGCAATTTTCTAAGAAACAGAATCTCCACAATCATTTCAAAAATAGAAATTCCAAAGAGATTTCTGAAAAGGTTTCACTGAAAGAAACTAATCCTTAGTTGGAAATTTGCTCACGCGCAAAAACAAACAGGAAACCCATCAGTCACTGATAGTCTTAAGGGTACATTTCACCAAACCTGTAAGAAGGAACAGATGATTTAACCTTATACGAAACGTTAAGGAGATGAGAGAAAGGGGGGCAACTCTCCAAGCAACTTTGTGACAATAAAATGCCCTTAATAGCAAAGCCAAGAGACAGTGGAAGAAAGGAAAAATTGGGCCTATGCTTCTTTTTTAGCACAATGTGAACAAATAGATGTAGCAACATGGTTTTTGTGGTTTGTAATCATGAAAATGAAAAGCCATCCTAGGAAGGTAAGTGGGTTTTCACATTACACAGTCAGTCTACTATTAAAAATACTTATATTTTTTTATGATTATAAATTTAAAAAATTTATATCTATCAATGTAACTCCACATAGTAGCAAATTTAAATTATTTTGGTAATGGATGTGGAAGAAACATTTTTGATGAAATTCAACATCTATTCCAGTTTCAAACAACAGCAACAATAGCAATGAACACTCTTGAAAAGGTTTTCTTCACCCTAATAAGTGGTTAACTACCAAACACCTATAGAGACGCAGGAAATGGATAACTATGATCGTACAACAGCGAATGTACTTAATACCCTTGAATTGTACACCTAAAAAGAGTTACAATCGTACATTTTCTATTAGTGATATTTTACTACATGTGAAAACACCCACGTAACTTCACCTGTATGTGTACTCTGAAAAAACAAAACAAATAAATAAAACCAAACCAAGCCCAGATTCCCAGGTACAGAGACCAGCTTTGGGGGAGAGTGTGTGTGTGTGTGGGTGGAGGGGTGGGAGTTGAAATGGATGAAAGAGATGAAAAAGTACAGACTACCAGCTAAAAAATAGATAAGTCAAGGGGATATAATGTACAGCATGGGGAATATAGTCAATAATACGGTATTAACTTTGTAAGGTGAGAGATGGTAACTAGATTTATTGTGGCCATTCTGCCACATATATAAATGTTGAATCACTGTGCTATACATCTGGAACTAATATAATATTGTACGTCACTTACACCTCAATAAAAAAAACCTGTAGCAAACATCATACTTAACATGGAATTATTAGAAGAAATTCCTTTAAATTAAGATCAAGACACAGTTGCCTGCTCTCACTGCTTCTATTCAACAGTGTATCAGAAGTCCAGCCCAACAAAATAATAAGTATGGAGATTAGAAAGGCAAATTTTCACAAATATCACTGTGCATGAAAAAGTCCAAGAGAATCCATACACAATCAGTTCTAAAAGGGCATTGAGCAATTGTATACAAGATACTCAAACCGAAATCAGTAATGTTCCCGTGTATCAGCAATTACCGATTAGAAGATACAGTTTTACGTATATGCCATTTCTGATAGTAAGAAAAACTGTAACCAGTCTAGGTATGACTCTAACAGAGAATTATAAAACTGTACTGAAAGGCCTATAAATGAAGAGATATACTTAGTTCATAAGTGGAAAGCATCAATATCATAAAAGATAGCAATTATCTTCAAATTAACCAATAACTCATAGCAATTTGAATCAGAACCCTAGCATAACTCATGGTCATTAAGAAGCCTATTCCAAAATTAATATGCAAGAATAAAATGGCAAGAATAGCCAAGACAGCTTAGAAGAACAAGGAAAGGATATTTGTTCTCCTAAATATCAAGTCATATCATAAAGTTGCGATAATGAAGCAATACGGTGCTGACACAAGGTATCGGCGACCTCACCGGGAAACAGACCTGCAGACAGATGGGCACTCAGCCCATCACACAAGTGTCGTAATAAATATATTGGGGGAAAAAAAAGACTTTTCAATAAACAGTGCTGGTTAACAGGCCAACTATACGGGAAAGAACAGAATTAGACTTTGCCTTACGCCGCATACCCCAATTCTAGAAGGATTAGAGTCCTAAATGTGAAAGCGAACACTTTAGAGTGTTCAGAATAAAAATATATGAGAATATCATCCTGACATCTGGGTAGAGACTAATTTCTTAAGGCACAGACCACACAAATCATGGAAGAAAAGAATAAATCAGACTACATTAAATAACAGCAAAAGAAAATTTCTATTTCTCCAGAGATATCTATAAATAGGAAAGAGACACACCAAGTCACAGGACGACGCTTATACAAAGCATAGGACTGCAAAGAAATTGTATCCCAAACATAGCAAGAATGCCCAAATCAGCCCAGATTCACCACCTGACAGAGGGCCACCCATGGGGACTGAGAGGCCAGAAACCCCAAATGACCAGCAGAGCCGCTCCGAGAGGCCCAGCTTCCCCCACCACCGGGGAAACGCATGTCCAGCCACCAAACATCGTTCCCAATGCTCAGGATTCCTGTGAATCCTGAGGATTCGAGGCCGTCAGTATGGACACCTAAGGGACGTTCCTTGGCAGGGAGCTGACCCCTAGGGAAACACCGGTTAGGACCTGTTCTAACCAACAGCAAACTGGATGATAATGGCCTTTTCTAGGGCGCCTTCTCATGCACTTGGACGCCTCCCCACCTGAATGATCCCTCCCACAGAGCCAGGGGGTTTCCTCCAGGCCGCGAGGGCAATGCCTCCTGGGCAAGGGGCTTACTTGGAGCAGTCCTCGCAGGCCACGTTCCCGGCCGTCTCCTTGATGGTGCGCTCGGAGACGAACGCTGGGTACTCGGTATCGCAAGGCTCCAGGGCCTGTTTCAACTTCTGGGCTGTCGACATAAAGAAAAAGAAAAAAAGGGTGAAGAGGTGGACACACAATGCAGGCTTTACTGGGACTGGCAGCCCGCAGTGGCCCAGGGCTCTGCTCTCCCGCTGCTCCGTCATTGTCCTGGGCGCGAAATAATGCATTATTTTCTAATTAGCCAGTCAGTTCACGGGCCGAGCAACTCTCATCCGTCAGGCCGTTGTGTTGGCTTGATCAAGGGTCATTTCTGCATCATAGGAATCCTACTTTCTGGGGAAACACCAGGCACCGGTCTCTGACCTCAGACTCACATGAACTTAGCAACAACATGTATGTTTGTCAGAATAAATGTATAAAATAGAAGTTACACCATATTATTTAGGGTGAGACAGAGGTCATGATACAACGACATGGTTTTATTCCAGAAATGAAATTGAGATACAAATGGTAAAATACCGCAGCCATGAATGTGATCCTACTATTATGAAGTCCCCTATCTGGCAGTTTAGCACTAATAACCCTGGTATGTGGACAAGTGCGCAGTAGGCACTTGGTAAGGGCTGGGTGGTCGATTAAATAAATCAGGTCTGCCTAGTGGGCGAGCTCCAAAACCTCTTTATGTCTCAGTATTTTAAATTTGTAAATTGTGGATAATATAGATCTTCTCTATTATAACAACCAAACGTGAGAAGTGAATGAAATAACACATGATGAGTACTTGGCACAGTTCTCGGAACATAATGAGGTCCAAGGGAATGTCAGTTAATAATAATAGTAACAACGGCAAAAAACAGAGCTAGCATTCTAATGAAGCCATCATGCCACTGAAAATGGTCCTATGACGCAGTGGTTAAGTGAGGGCTCTGCAGTCAGACGAGTCTGCGCCACAAACCCCTGTTCCATTGCTTCCAGCTAACCCTCAGTATTCTCATGTGTAAAATGGACAGGCCAGCCGGGCAGTACTCTTCGTGAGAGATCCACTCATTAACATTTCCCAGCAGAATGCTTACAGGTTTCTAGGGCCCCAGATTTCTACAGATGTGTATAGAGAAACATAAACACACATTTATAAATGTGCATTCTATGTGATGTATATTACATACATGTAAATCCATATGTTTTATATTTATAATTTACATTTACAACTCTACAACTCAATAGGATTTTAATAGAATGATTTGTGGACAAAATCTCAAGTTATATTCCAACACAGGTGGTTGGATGTCAGGACCGTGGGCTCATGTTTCATGGGCTGCCCATCAGGGAGGCCGCTGGCACTAGGTGAGCCGTCACGGGGCCATGGAAGGCTGAGTAGCTGTCTGGTAACAACCAGATAATCACTGGGTGACCAGGAAGCCAGAGTCTAAAGCATCTCGACAAATGTAATTGCTTTTTATATGTAGGCTTTTCACTGAGCTTTATTATTTTTTTTAAGAAATTGATTGGAGTTTTGGAGTTGAAGCATAATGTACTGTGATTTTTAAAAATTTAAAACAAAAGGAAGTAGACTTTTAACCAGCTTTTTTATGCAGGACATGCGATTTCTAGGAGCTGGCCCTGACATGATGGTGAGATGCTGTACGCGCAGGTGACTCTGAGGAATGACGGGACATGCAGCTCTGAACAGAGTTTGACGGCCATGCACATGCACAGCCGCTCCGAGATGCCAGCTGCTGGGGAGCGCTGCCACGGGGCTGCTCTGCGTGCCCGGAGAGGGCTGACTGCACGGGAGCAGAGGGCACGAGCTCCAAGGGTATGACTCCTGCCGCTGCTCTGCGTCCTCAGGCAGGGTTTATTCCCTCCTCTTAGTGTCCTCATCTGCAAAACAGGAGTGACAGGACCTGCCTCACATGCGTTTGAGGATCACATGGATTACTACGTGGAAGGCGGCCAGCACATCGCGAGGGCCACTGACGTGTGTGTTCGCTGTCACCAGGACTTCTGCTGTCTGCTGTTCCATTGACTCCTCAGGCTGCCGGCCTTTGTGAGCCGTTGCCTTTGGGTTAGAAAAGGCCGGCGGGGTGGCTCCTGGCTCCTGAGCAGGGAGGTACAGGGCAGCTGCTGTCCCACCCCCAGAGGGCCAAGGCCCACACACTGTCCGTCCCCTGTGCCCTGCGGGGCCAGCTCATAGGAGAGGGCATTCCAAGCTGGCTGAACGAACAACTAATCCTCCCGACTGGTGCTTTTTAGAGCTCAGTCCCTGAGGAAGAACTGCCTGCTTCAGGTGGAAGGCGAGGTCAGGTTGGGGGGCAGCACCCTGTGGGAACCAGGGGGTTCCCTGCTCCCAGTTCCTCTCCGGAGCCTCTGATTTCCCAGGAGGACATCTCAGTTTGATGCAGGGAGTTTTTACCGTCTTCCCTGCATTTTCCTTTTATGTGCTCTGTGCTCTTGTTTACCTGGGAGGCCATACCTAAAACTTACAGTATCTGTCCACAATTTGGTAACACAGTTTTATTTTCATGGTTCTCATTTGTACAACTGATTTCTCTGTGTGGCAAAGGATACTGACTTTCAGTTTGGGGGGCTTCCTCTTCATATTTCAATGACTGTCATTTCTAAAAGTGAGTCAGTTAAAATGACATCAAGATGAGGTTAACAAAAGCATAGCTTGTAAGTGCCTATGGCACAAGCAGGTAGATGACTTATAGCAATCAAATGACGGCCACAGCTAAATTTATTAAGAAATTACTGTGTGCCAGATGCCGTTCCTCTTTACATGTATTAATTTAATAGTAAAACACAAGAAAAACATAAACCATGAGGTAGAAACAATTGTTATCTGTTTTTCAGATTAGTCAACCGAGGAGAGGACCAGATAAATTGCCCAAATCCATCCAGTGGGCATGCGGCAGGACCAGAATTTGAACTCAGGCTGTCTGGTTCCAGCACACATGTATGTAACTGCTCTGTGAAGTTGGCCAGCAAGTGGATGGAAGAAGGAAAGGTCTTTGGGGCAGGCTGATGGCTGCATACACGGTTTAAATGCACCTGGTAACTGCACCATCTCTAATTCTAACTGTCCGGACTCAGTTACCACAGAAGGGGTCCAGCACTCTCACTGGGGAGACTCATTTGGTTCTGATCCTTTCTAGAGAGGAAATTGTGCCGCTGACAGTTGTGGGACACCCAGGCTCATGGGGTGATAAACGGTTGGGTCTATGTGGAGCCCGATTGTACACTGGCTGCAAGTTGATGTGCTTTTGGAAAACACACGGATTATCATATAAAACCATGACCGCACAGATTCCAAATAGCACAGTTCAGGACAAAGACCTTTCTTTGTGTCTGCAGTGCTATAGAAAACGCCATAGACATTTGCCAGTCATTGCTGTCTATCTGAATTTGGGACCAGTAACTACCGCTGCCAGCCATCCAATGGGTATAGTTTTTAACTCTTAGGCTTTTAAAACTCATTATCTTAACAAGGATGTAAGTACATAAGGATCACGGAGCTCAGCTACCCTGATTCCTTATCTTTCCGGAATGGAAAGCCGGGGTTCAGAACGCAGACACAGCCTGCCTTGAGTGCCATAGAATGTGGCTCATCATGATCGCATTTACTCACACAGCAATCCCACCGCCTTTCCGGGCACTCACCGCGTGCCACATGTGCGCCAGGCCCATTGCACAGACAGAATCCTCAGCGCCACGGATTACAGACAAGGAAACCAAAGCACGGAGGAACTGAGTCAGCCAGCTGGCCCAGAGCCGCAGGGCTGCTAGTCAGGGAGCCCGGCTACGCCGGAGCCTCTGCTCTTGGTCACCAGCCTGCCCCGGGACGCTGTCTGTCTCAAGCTGGAGCCTCCGTGACCCATCACTCAGCCACGGCGAAGCGCCAGCAGAGCCTCACAATGGGATTTCTTTAATTTTCCCTCAGCAAAAAATGTCCCTGATGAGAATGACTGACTTGGGTTCACAGCAATTACGTGCAGACAACTGGGAATGAATAGTTTCCATTTGAAAAGCTTTTCTCTCCTTTTGTCCCCGTGAGTGCGTCCCCACTCACAGCGCGGTGTCAGCGAGCTCCGTTCTCTTTGTGCAACTTCGCCAAAATGATGCCTTTGTGGTAATCAAGCCGAAATGGGCTTCCTCCCTCCCCTTCATTAAGGAAATGAGGCAGATAAACAGTGTAATTATGGATTCCATTTTTAGCTAAACAAAGATGTCTCAGCTCAGGGTCTTTATCTAGTGAGGGAACGGTAAATTGAGAAAGAAGAAACTTCGCCAGTCAATATTGTGATGGTGCTTGAAACTTTTCTCTACTGAGCCTGTCGTGGAACAGAGCTGTCCAGAAAGCAGGCCTGTGGACAAGGCCAATCACCTCCACCTGCTTCAGTTTCTTCTGGAAAAAGCCATGGCCATGCCCAGCAGAGGGCTGCAGGGCTGGATGCGACCATCCGTGTGCAGCGCCCAGCTCAGGGCGTTGCAAAGGCCAGCTGCCTCTCTCTGCACTGAGTTCTCAGAATGCTCTGAGCCATTCTCTATCTGCTGGCTTACTTAGGTGCTCAGAGTGGCTTAGGGACCCATTCTAGCAGTGCCCACCTCTCAGGTACGTTAAAGGGGTCTCAAGGCAACCTGATGCCAGCACTCTGGAAATGCAAAAGCACTATATATTGGTACACTTGTGTGTTGACGATGTGATTATCTGACAAGGTCTAGCCTTATCTGAGGGCAGCGGGTTTCAAGTGTGGCAATGGAGTTAAGTGGCTTGGAATGATCATTTAAGGTCTTCCAAACAGAAAACAGAACTGAAGCCCCACTGATTCCTCTTGGCTAACGTCCTGCCTGCTGTTGGCCTGCTAGGGGGAGTGTTGGGGCAATGGGATGTGAAATTTCAGAACAGGACCCTTCCTAGGTTTCTGACACCATCAGGAGTGCAAGACCTCCTCGTCACCTTCCCTCCCTGCCCCGTCTACACCAGGGCCTCTCACCAGCAGCACTGTGTGTGGACACTAGGAGCTGGGCAGCTCGTCATGAGGGGCAGCGTGCTTGCAATGCCAAGCAGCCTTCCAGCCTCAACCCCCTGGATGACAGTAGCTTCTCCAGCGCAGTGCTGACAACAGAATTATCACCAAACATTGCAGTGACCCCTGGGAGGCCAAGTTACCCCCAGGTCGAAAACCTCTGGTCTAAGCAAATATTACAGCGACTGACACTCAGCAGAAACTCAAAAGCAAACTGTCAGCTCTGCAGGCCAGAACCCATGTGCGGGCAGAGCCCGTGGCGGCAGGTAGCAGGTGGCGGGCAAGGGAGGCAGGCCAGGGCAGGAATAGGGGAGTGAGGATAGAGCTGGGCATGAGGAAAGGGGTGCCCTCTGCTCACCACTGAAGCGCCCTGGCCAGGAATTGGCTGGCACTCAGTGTGAAGAGGGAGCCCAAAAAGTAAAGCCTGGAGATACTGCCCTCGGCACTGAGGACACTCCTGAGAGTCAGATGTCAACAGGAAAAGCCACCAACGTGTAGCACCCAAAGCGTGAGTGCCTCCCACCACATGGGGAACCCCTGCCTGGCACACGGGCTTTGCACCCACAACCATATTATGCCTGCTGTTAGCTGGTGATGGACAAGGACACCAAAGGCCAGAGACCTGGCGACTTGCCCAGAACCAGGGGGCGGACAAGCAGCCGAGGAAGGTTCCTGGCTCCCAGCCCAGGACGGGGTCGCAAGGAGGGGCTCAGAGATGGCGGCCCTCTGCCCCCTTGCAGTCCATTCTCTTGGCCTCTACTGATCATCCGCCTTCCTTTTCTCTTTTAATCTCACTGATCTGTGTTCCCTCCTATTAGGAGAACTATGAAAAGCTCACGGAGTAAGAAAAATAAATAGAAGATAACAAGCCCCCGTTCTGCAGGTAGGTTTCTGCTCTTCTCTTTCTCAGATTGTGGCCAAGTTCAAACAGATGCAGGTTCATGTCCCAGGTGAGGTCCTCTCATAGGGACACAGTAGTCTTGTCTTCCCAGTCCATACTGTGGGCTCTCCTTATTGACCCTCCCGCTGGCCATCCCCATTGCTGGTCCTATTTAAACACCACGGTCTCTCCTCCCCTCACTGCAAGGCAGGTTTGTATCTTGTTTTTCTTGCTGTATTACCTGATTTTATGAGCATTTTTGACCTTGTTAAAAACTGTTCAGAAACAGAATCTCATTAAAAAGTTTTCCATGCCTTCTGTGGATGGGCAGTCATATATTTTTTAATATCCTTGTTCATCATTTAAAGAGTTACTTGCAGCCATAAATTCCCCAGTGATAAGCATCCTGTCCTGGCATCCTTTGCTCCCATCCCAGCATATTTCCCTTAGACTGATTTTTAGAAGTAGGATTATGGACACCCACTGGCATTCCAAGCTGGTACGAACCCAGCCAGAAGGGGTAAGGATCAAGCCTGTGCCCTGAGGGTCAACAGGACACCGTGTGTGTGTGTGTGTGTGTGTGTGTGTGTGTGTGTGTGTGTGTGTGTGTGTGTAAGACAAGCACACAGGGTCTGTGTGTGTGTGTGTGTGTGTGTGTGTGTGTGTGTGTGTGTGTGTGTCGTGTGTGAAAGACAAGCACACAGGGCCTGTCTATAGGGCTGTCAGATTCCTAGGACAGAGCCAACCCCAAACCCACCTGGGTTAGGTTCACTGTTACCAGAGGCCCCTTCATGCAGTGCATGCATGCGTTGACCTCTCTGGAATGTTGTTCCATCACATATGCTAACGAGAAACTAGTGAGTTCCTGCCTTTAGGCAAAATAGGCCCATTTGTAAGTTACAAAGTTCCGCTGACAGTGATTATAAGGGTCCTACCCAGCAAAGGAAATATTTCTTAGGGTATTCTGTTAGCACCCAGTATGCTCTGAGCACCAGTGAGGTGCTAAGGGATAGCATGGCTGAGACACAGCTCCTGCCATCAGGAAATTCTAATTCGGTGTGAGACACACAATCAGAGACACTAATGGGGCGTACTTGCTAGGGGGATGGGTGAGCTGCCTGGGCGGAGTGGGAAGGAGCGCTGCCGAGCAGGGGTTCCTCGCTGATGATCGGTACTGGGGAGGGAGGGGATGTCAGACTGGAGTGTAGGCAGCACCTGGGAATTGTGGTACATGACTAATCTACCTTTATGCAAACAACGGATACTTAAAAAATAATAATAGTGGCAGCACTCTGCTAGTCCCGGGTAAGAAGACAACACGAACGAGTACGCGAAGTGGAGAAGGGCAGAGTGTATCTGAGAAGGGGCAAGTGGCCCGGCAGGCGGGCAGGTGGCTGGGAGGCGGCCTCTATGAGGAGCCCTGATTTTGTAGGCTGTGGGGACCTGACATTTCATCATCGTCAACACTGTCACCACCCTCGTGAGGGACAAATTGCAGAGGGCATCTTGTGAGGGCTTGGTATACACCAGTGCCAGCTCAGCAGATAGCATGGTTTGCCATTAAATGCATGCACGCACGCACATACACACATGAAAGGCGGTAAAAATTACTACTTTCTCCATTTTACTTTAAGGAAACTGGGCCTTGAAGAGATCAGCTGACTTGCCCAAGGCCAACCTCAGAGCCAGGACTCAAACCAAAATCAATCTAACTCCACAACGCATGCCTCCAGGAGTTCTACTCGTCACCACTCAACTCACTGAAGGCTTTTGGGCAGGGAAAGTACTATGATTAGATTAATATTTTTAGGAGGGTTAAGTGTAAACAAAAAGCAAACAGTCGAGTGGCTATCCATTCATTCAGCCTGAAGGTGGCAGTGTGTCTCCTGGTGATTCTAGCACTGCCCACGAGCTTTCTGAAGGATTCACCTGTTAGTTCAGGAAACAGGTCAAAGTGCACATTCGACATGGCTGAGTGACGCCTGTGAACTTCTGCTGGACTGGATGATTCTACACGTGCACAAAGGGCGCCTTCTGCTGACAGAGCTGCAGACTAGTCGCTTTGTCGTGATAGTTTTAGGTGTGCACATCCCTGGTGAAAAGAAGCCCGTGAACCAGGGACGGTAGCTCTGAAGTAGGAAATAGAAACCGAGGTCTGCTTACCTTTAGCTGTCATATCTGAGTGCCACCAGCTGCAGAGGTTAAACTCCACCAGGAACCTAAACAGGTGATGGAAAATCCAGTGTCACCTGGTCATCTACACCCTGATCAGGACAGCGACATTCTGTGCTCTTGCACCCTGAGTACCTCCCCTGGAGATCAGCATCCCAACCTGGAGGTACCAGCGTGATTCATTCCCTTACCCATGAATTTTCACTGGGCTTTAACTTCCTTGTGAAAGGCTGTTTCATCAACAATGCCAGCCAAACTCTCCGATCAGGTTTACCTGGTCTCAAGGCCACTACAGAGAAGCACCCTGGCTTCACAGTCAGGGATGCTTTTCCAGTTACCGTCTGAGTTCATTGTAAGAACGCAATTGCTTAATGGTTCCTCCGCCTCGGTCTAGAAACACAAATAGAATATTCTCTGCCTAGACTATGATCTGCAGTAATAGAGGATGCTTTCAAAATTCATATACTGCAATGCAAATTTGTTCAATTGTGTGTGTGTGTATGTAGGACAGATGGGACAAACTTCTCTTTATGAAATGATGACACAATGCCACCTCAAAATATCAAGATTTATTAATTGCTAGTGAAGAATGCAAAAAGAATAAATCATCCTCAAAATGCATGACTGCTGTCTCTAGCAGCTCCCTCTCCCTCAAAATCCCATTATCTGATACTGTTACCATATTTTCCATCTCTTCAGATTAGGGGCAGAACTTCCTCTCCACTTGATTTTGTAACTTTGTTAAATTAATATGTTACATTCAAGCGGTGGAGAGATGACTGTTCATTAAATAGTAAGAAATCTGCCTTAAAGCCACAGAACTGGAGCCTTAAAAGGGATGGCAAAGTTGGGTGCAGCTTTAACCATCTGGTTTACGTGCTCGTCCGTGGAATACCTCTCTTTTGTGTGACACAGTGTTTCCGTCATGTGTCCGATCTCTTGTCTGGAAGTCAAGTCTTTCATCTTTGTGCTGTTTCACATCTGACCTAAGTCACAGATGCATCCAGCACCCTCCAAGCAGGACCGTAATTCGACAGGGTGAACAATTAGATCACACCTGAGAAAAGCCCCCGAGCCCCCAACCCACAACAGCAAGCCCACCCACCCACCCATTCGCAAGCCAAGGCATCCGGAGTAGCACAGTGAACAGCCCTGGCAATTTGCTCTTCTGACCACAGCCCACCCAGGCGGCATTAAAAACAGCCAGACATCTATGTTGAATTGAACGGCAACCACAATAAATAAATTTGGTCTGTATATTGCAAGCTGTTAGTCTGCTAAACAATGACATAAGGGCGTAACAGCGGCCATGAATAACGTCAAGATAATTTTTTGGCTTCCGCGTTCAATATTTCAAGATGTTCGGTCAGGTTATCTCAGTTTTCTGAATCTAATGGGTATTGAAACATGAAGCGTGGTCTTCTGTTTCACTTTGTAATACAGAAGAAAAACAATAAGACTTTCAAAAAATGTAGCAAATTATACTTACAAGACAAGTTCTGTCATTATCCATTTTGCTGCAGCAAGGAAGGCATTATAAGGCTGAAAGGAAGAATTCAGTTCATTAACAAGGTATTACATTCCAAATTTGTAATTGAACTTAAGGTTTTCCATAAAGACAATGTTATTCTTTTAGAGAGATTGATATCATGTTAAAAAACAGTGACTCTCTGAGCTAAAAGAAGAAAATGCTTGGATACTGTATCCCAAAACTAACATTTTAAAACTTTGAACTCCCCTGTAGTGAGATGTGATTTATAAGTAAAATAAACATGATCTAATACAGGGGTTATCTCTGGGAGGAAAAAGGAAGTTCAGCAAACGATGCTTAAACCTCTATCCCCAGGGGCTAATATTTCACAGCCTGATGTTGAGGGGCTGGAAGCATATAACTAATTTCAAATGGTAATTCACAGGGCTGCCTCTCAGGCGATTCTCTCCTCTCCATCACTGTATGTCATTCACGGAAATATGCAAAAGTTGCATATACTTGACTTTAATGTTGCTCATGAATTGTGTAGGATTTAAGCTGCCTTTTCTCCCACGTGCCTTTTCTCCGGACCTGACAAAATGGTAACCGCATAAACATGTGATTTTATCCTTGCGGAAAATCCCCTTCACTCTTATATAAGGGCAGGCATTGACAGTCTAACCTTTATTTCAGAGTATTTTATTTTAAAAAAGCGGTTGGATTGTTTACTCTGTGATACTTTCTCTGTGGATAATTCAATTTCCTGAATTCTGGAAAATACCAAGTCTCCCCCTCAGTTGGCTCGCCATTCCTACGTGTGCCAGGTGTGCAGGTGGTGGGCAGCCTAGAGGCAGCCAAAGGCGCTGGTAAAGCCCTGGCCCCAGATGGCAGGTTCAGAAAGACCTCGGAGCCTTTTGTGGCTGTGCGTAGGTATCAGAGAATCGAGATGCCAAAGCCTGGTTCCTGAAGTGATGGCTGCTTAATCCTACCTTTTCAGCCTTTTGAGAAGGATTAGAGCTGGGATGGAAGGATTAACCAGCTTTTGATAAAATAAGAACCCATATACTCCTAACCATTCTTGAAACTTCTCTATGTCAAGCCAGTAGGTAAATGAACAGAGCCACCACCAAAATCTGCTGGGGTACCTCTCAGCCCACCGAGATTGCAGACCGGCTCCTCGCTCTGGGATGGCCAAGTGTGTCTGCATCAACCCCTGCCTCACAGGGCTTCAGGAGCAGGGTTGGAGAAGGACGTGAACTGCTCTTTTTTAAAACCAAATGCAAACTTGCAGTCCTGTGGTTTTACCACTACATTTCTTGTGGCTTGAAAATCATCATCTTTCTTTCAAAAAGACCCCTGGAGGTCAGACTCTGGGACAGATCTACGTCTTTGTACCTGCTGGGATGAGTGGTGATATTTCAGCCACCCTTGGTATTGTGGGTACAGGGAAGAGAAAAAGAATAAAGGGATTAAGGAGGCTTTGGAGGTGGGAAGGGACAGGCGCTGGGACAGCGCGCCCTGGGACCAGGGGGAGGGCACTCAAGCATCCCGGCCAGACCCTGGCTCAGTGTGCGGGTAAACAAAGGATTATGTGAATGCATATTATCATTCAGAAGGGTAAAGACATTGAGCTGTTAAGCCTAATGATGAAAACATATCTTGGGAACATTTTAAGCCTGCAAATATTCGTGCTAAAGCTAGGGAAATTGGGCTTGGAGAGACAAGTTGATAATCACTGAAAAGCAGTGTTTTTTTTTTTTTTTTTTAAATGTCCAACTTTTCAAGTCTAATTGCTTCTCAGGAATTTCTGGCTCCCAATCATTTCTTGCCCCCTCAGGCAGAACAGAATGGCTCTCAAATTCTGTGTTTCAAACCAAATCTGAGGTTCATTTTGAGAATTTACAAAACATTAACACTCAAGGATTCTATCTGTATGCATAAGCTGGACTTTACCGAAATGTACTGTATCCTTTTCTCCCTTGTTTTCAGGTTGTGGTGGGCAAACTTTTATTGCTTGAACATTGGGAATATTTTTAACTGGGAGCAAATTACAACAATTAATTTCTGGCAGTCTGAAAGCCAGTTTCTAATGCTACGAGAGCTATGTTGATCGATCCTCAACTGTGACATTATTAATGAAACCAGATCGGGGAAAATGATACAGAGACTCAACAGCAGCAAGATTAAGGTAGAGACCCTATGACATGTGACCTAACAGCTCAATAACAAACCGAAAGGGAGATTTCTATTGAAATAAATCAAATTCTTTTTTATGAGAGTGAGACAAAACCTCTCCCCTTTTCTATCCATCAGAAGCAGGGCTGCTGCATGAATCCATCAAAGACTTTAGATCTGTTCGTTATTGATAAAATCACTGGATTTGGGGGTTAAATAGAAGTGGTTTTTCTTAGCCAGTGAAAATCAGGAAATATTTTTGAACAGTCATTGTTTGGAAAAAGACAAACTTGATTACTCCAAAGAGACAGGCAGAAAGCATCATCTCCATCCTGGGCGATGGTGGTACTTACGTCCAGGAGGCCGTGGGCCCCGTCACTGCTTTCCTTGTTGGCCCTGCACATGGCCTGATAGTCATAAAGCGTAATTCTACAGGAAGGAATGGAGAGGAGCTTCAGTTAAATGGGGAAAACACTGGACCATGGGATGCTGGAACCACATGTGGGCAGCAGGTCAATGGCTACCAACAGCACTAAAACCACCATCAGGTGAAGAGACAGCCCACAGAAATGCAGGGGACAGGGATGACAGACAAGGGGCATGGCACAGTCCGGGAGGGGACACCGTCATGCCACGCTTGGAACATGAAGAGCAAGGGAGTAAAGGCGCTGGGATGAGGAGACAGGGACGAGACCTCCCCACAACGCCCCCGACTTGCTGCAACCCTCATTTTGGTTTGGACAAGGATGATGTGTGTGGGCCAGGATATGCCACAGGACACTTGCCGCTCTGAACTGGGCTCAGGGCGCTGGATGGAATCCATGTGGGTCGCGTCTCAAAGGCTGAGGAGGGCTAGGAAGGGCCACCTCGGGTTCCGAGGAGGCTGGACCCTGCCTCAGTGAAGCGCTAGTGCTTTCCCAGCGACCTAGTGACCTAGACACACCGGCCCTTGGACAATGTGCTGGGCATCTGCTGGCTCAGTGCTTGTGATTCCCACCCCCCTCCCACCACCACCACGATGCTGCGCTGTTCCTACCTCTGAAGACAGTGCAGTTGATGGAACAAGAGCATTCTTCCCCCATCGGTGATGAAAATAAACCTCTCAGTCCATGACCTTTACTCGGATGCCAAGGTGTTTTCCTTTATAATTGTTCCAGGTATTTTAATTCCCCAACAATGTTACAAAGTAAAGGAGAATGGTGGTTTCTGACAGCAAGTCAACCCAGCATCCTGGAGAGGATTGCATCCCGCCCTACCTGCTGGGTCGCTACCCGCTGCTCCCGCCGCCCCACGGACAGACGTCCAGTCCAGCCGGAGTGTCCTAACAGCTGCTGTTGAATGGGTTACACGCTGTGGCACATGAATTTGCAAATGACTGAAAGGGATTCTCCCCACAGGAGATCCTTTCTAGAGCAGGATGGTGCTTTGTGTGGAGCTGAGCTGGGCGTGAGTCCCGGACAGCAGTTCATGGCAGATCCGCTGGTAGAGTTTTCATGCCTCCCCAGCTGCTAGCACAGCACCCTGCCCGGGCCAGGTGCTTGTCTGACAAAGTGGGGTGCACGATGCCTTGCCGGGTTGCCTCAGTCTTGAATAGCTGATGGCACAGCTGAGTGTGAAGAGGTCAACTGCAGAGTGGGCACAGGGCAACTCCCTCCCCCCCACCCCCGCCCCTGACAGTGTGGTGACTTAGTTCTAACACACGAGGATTAAGCCGAGAGCAATCTCTCTGTACCAGGTAGGAAGCCGGCCACTCGTCCAAACCAAGGTGGAATCCAGCTCCTGCCCAGCAGCACAAAGGCATCTTTGGCAGCAAAGCCCGTGCGGGCACCAGGGACCACACATTCTCCCAGCAGGTCGCACAGGCCTCCTCCCCTTCAGAATGCTGCTTCTGGTCCTAGTCCTCCGGCTTATCGCCTTAGAGCAGATACAGCAGAGCCTGAGTTTGTTGAGACAGACATGAAGCCTGTGACGTGCCCGACCACCTGGCTCAGGGGAGCCCCGGGGCGAGCTCCTCCTGGACACAGCTGGCTCTCCCACCCGCAGGACCAAGCACACACCACAGTGGGCAACTCCCGCTGGTGCCCGGCCGGCCCACCCCACTGCAGTCTCCTCTGTGGCCAGGGGATTTCTGCAGGTGCCCCCAGAAGGGCTTTCCAGGATTTGGCAAGAACTGTTACTGGCTTCGTCCTTTTCCGAGTGCCCAGCTCTGTCTCAGCAGACAGGACAACTGTGTAGAAGACAGCTCCGTCATTCCCGGCACCTGGGCCAGACCCTGGGGGCGGAGGGTGGGGGAGGCACAGGTGGAGTGCAATCTTGAGAAGACTGTCTACCCTCTTCTGAGGCTTCATTTTCTCACTTAAGAAAGGACTCAGACATGTCCTGAATGTAAATAATCAGGCATGGGGAGGTCTGCTGAATATACTACATAGTACGCTAGCAAGATCCTTACACCAGAAGGCCTAATGTGCTTTTTGGAGTTGGGGCTCTTAAAGCAATTTTTTTGTTTAATCCTCTTGGTGCGTCAGTTTCTTCATCTGTAAGGTGGTGAGAGGACTGGCTACCTTATAGGGTGGTCGTGAGGAGTTGGTGAGGTCATCTGTGGGTTGCATTTAGCGCGGCATCTCCTACAGAGGAAGCATTCAGCGGAAGGCAGGCCTGTAGCTGCTGTTTTAATTTATTAGTCTGGCTTTCACGGCCATTATTAATGGGGGTGGTGGTTAATGCAGTGGGAATTGACTCAACCTTTCCCCAGCTGGCTGGAGGATGAGCAGGCCTCCTGGTTTTCGCAGCTCACAGGCCCACATGATGCAGCATAAAATTCACACTGGTCACTGCAGTACCAGACAGCCTCAGAAGCCATGCCAGGGGTGTCAAGAGGAGATGGGGACCTCTGTCCACAGGCTTCATAGCCCACAGCCAGGATGACGACAGCTGGTGTCCCCTGAGCTCTACTGAGCAACTGTGGGCAAGGTGTTCTTTCAGTTATGTTCCTACTGGATGGATTCTATCCATCCCCACTTCACAGAGGGCCAAACCAAGCCTCGGCCAGCCTGAGTAAGTGCCCAATTCACACGTGTAGGAAGAGCAGAGCCCGAATTAGACGGGGGTCAAGCTGAATTCACCTCCCCCGCCTTGGGCTCAGTCCCAGGCTCTGGCGGAGTCTAGGAATGTCTAGACTGAGCCCCGGGCCCCGTCCCAGAGTCTTACTGGACTGACACAGAAAATGCTGCCCACATAAGGTCACATAACCAGAACTAACTTTCAGCCCACACTGAGGGGCTTCCATGGAGGGGTGGGGTCACCGGGCCAGGCAGGACTGGCTGGTGGGGCTGGTGAGTGCCCCTTGCCAGGGTAAGTGCTCAATGGACAGGGGGCAGGAAGCGCAGGATTCTCCTGGGATCCTTCCCAAAGGCTCCAGGTTACATGCTGGGGTCAAACTCAGCCGCTCTGGGGCAGCCTCCAGACCAGGGCCCCTGCCTTTAATTTCACAAGGAAGCTTTCCAATCTGATTGCCATTCAAGAGGTTACAAACCAAGCCTGCCCTGTCGTCTCCACACTTAGACAGCTTTAACTAGATGTTGCAGAAAGAGAGACTTCCAGATTATCACCCCCTTTTCAAGTGACTTTGTTACTGTCTTAAATAACTCCATTTTGTGGCTTACCTGTACTGCTTAGCTGATGATAGTTGAGGAATATGATAATCGCCTTGCTTTCATTTGGCTCTAAAATAAGCCCCAAGCTTTGTGCCCAGCCCAAGACTGGTTATTATTACAGATAACATGCCCAAATCCCCGTGACATCACCGCCAAGCCACTTGCCCCAGGACCGTATCATCAGCATCTCTGTGCCACCCAAACGGGTCTCTGAAACTTTGACAGAAGGCAGATGGGGTTCTCTGAAGAAGAACCTCAGAGTGAGCCAAATAAGCCTGGACACCCCTCTGTGCCCCACACTGGGGAGAGGCCCAGGACATTCTGACTTTAAAGCCATTTTGCTGCTTCTGCTCTTCCCAACTGCACAAAAATCACAGCCAAGGAAAGTATTTCTTCTAAGAATCAGAAGTTCAAAGGCATGAGTCCAGCTACTTTAGGGGTGTTCGTAAGCAGGGAGACCAGCATTTATTAAACACCTCTGTGTGCCCAGGAGGCCAGGCCCTTTACCTGCAATGCCTCATTGAATTAGCTCACCTTGGCTGCCTAATTTGCCTTGAGAGCAATCTAGAAACACCTTAATGTTCACAAACAGCCCTAAAAACAGGACAGGGAGGCATTTGACATCGACACCCACTGTGGGATGTATTTAAGCAATTTTGAATCTAGAAGTATGAGAAGCAAAGTGACTTACTAGGGTAGCATGTAAAAATACGTATTCTTTGTCGAGCTGTAAAATGTGTTCCCTGACGGGGCCGGGAGCAGGAACGAAGGACATTGTAACAAAGGGCTTGTCCCGGGAAGCCTTACTTGTGTGTCCACTGCAGAAAGCCAGGAGAGTGAAAAGCTCTGTCTGATGATCCGACTGCTAAGAGAAGGTCCAAAAAGTGTGCTTTCTCCTCTCTGCATCAGTCACCACACCGTCCCACGGCAGCTTCTCAGAGAAACCACCCTGGTCTTAAAGATCTCAGCACAAACCTAGCAGAGGTAGTTCACGTGGGCCGGCCATGCTGCCCTTGTGACCTCTGCCCGCGATCTCTAAAGTGCATCTAATTGGTGAACGTGCGGCATTAGCAGAGAACAATCGCCAGGTGGCTGCAGCGGCAGGTGGCCAGCACACAGGGTAGGCAGAACCCTGAGCCAGGAGCCTTGAAAAAGGAGCCTCCCTCATTCTATAGATGAAGCAGAGGGTCTATTAGCACCAGGTGCTTTTCATCAACAGGTGCTGACAATGGAACATAAAAAGGAGCAAAGTTGTAGCCCCCGAGCATGTGGGCATCTCACCAGGTAATAGAAGCAGTAATAGTAGAAGCATCAGTCAAGCCTCTGCCAGCCCGTGTAGGCATCGTCTTCAGTGCCAGGGGCATACATTTTCCAAGCCAAGAAAGTAGGGCTCCGAAGGTGACACCTGCTCCAAGGTTATAACTAAGTGGAGAGGCTGGGATTTCAGTTTAGGTCTCCTGTTCTTTGAAGCTGTGCATTTAAACTCCTTCCCAAGCATGGATTCCTGAGGGTTGTCCTGCTCCTTAAAGGTCTCATGGGCATGGGTCTCAGAAGGACAACCTGGAAAATGGGATGGACACTTACACTTAATTCCTGAGGCCACTTGTGAGCACGGAGGTTGGCATTTGCTGAAAACAGTGACTCTCAGCCCCACCTGCCCCTTAGAATCAGCTGGGGAACTCCAAAAAATTTATATACATGCTGGGCATCAACCCCTTGACCCCAGGATGTCATTGGTTGGAGTGGGGGTGGGGCACCTGGTATCTGTTATTTCTT